TTCTTTTTTATATGTATTGGGTGTTATTCGATAACGCGTTACATTAAAAAGAGGGATGCCTAATACCGGCAAGAACTAGATAAAAGTATTACTAAAAAGAAATACAGCTAAAAAAAGCTGTTTATTTATAACTTATTCTTTAGAACAAGTCTTCTAGAAATGCGTGTTTTGGAAATTTTTTATGTATGAAAGGCTTCTTACTTAAGTTTTACTTATAAAAGAACGGGAATTTCCACTCATATTAAGTTTTTAAAGAAGTTACGAGCTGACGAATGGCTTGCCTTTATATTCCTGGTATATACAGCTTTCGTAAAATGTCCAAGTCATGATTTTAAAATTACTTCGATGAAAAAGTAGATTGAGATTCTCGCCTGTAGATTCAGCCTTCGATGGAAAACCTTCGATATTGTTCTGGAAATCTGAAGGAGTTCCGTATTTTACAGATTTTTTGACAGATGAGACTTCAATATTTTGAAAATCCGCTCTTTTTTCCCATTATTTCTCGCCATCAATATGGCTGCTAGCTTTTCTGCCTTCCTCAGTTAATTTTTACGTACAGATTGATCATTTTAGGGACATGGAAAATCGAAAAAGTGCCATAATCGACGCGTTGCTGCTGAAAGCAGAGACGTTAGCCGATGCACACTTAGCAATAAGCACCCAGGATATCCCGAAGTCATTTCGGTATGGTTTGAATGTCGATGTGACAGAAAAACCCATGAAAACTGCTGCTGCTACTGTTGCTGCTGCTTTGGGCAACGAAGGAGAACTTACTAAAAAATCATCCATGAGCGATTTTCAGGTTTCAAGTAGATTCTTTGCAGGAATAATAAGAAATTTTTAATTTTTGATTATTTCAGCCAAATAATGGCTCGTTTACGACAGCGACATTCAAAGCAACGTCGTAAAGTAATTCAAAAAATATTCTAAATTTCTTTATTTTATACTTCTACTTCAAAAAAAAAAAGGCATTTACCAATTGGCATATATTGTGTAGTGAGAATGTTAGATAGTGCAAATGTAGAGTTAGATCCACAGGGAGGTATGCTCCAAGTCTTCGACTCTGGGTTGATTGTCTGTGATTTTGACTAACGATGAATATATGCTGTTATATTAGTCTGCGTAATAAAATTGCCCTAACTCGGTCGGATCGTCGCGTCAAGATCAGCGTCGCAGTCGCTCGTTCAGGGTACAGCCTTCGTCCCTAAACCTCGTTAAATAAAGCCCCTTTCCACCCCTTCGTTTTTGGTCCAGACATTTCAACGTCGGGAATCACGAAGTAGCAGGAAAGTAGGATCATTGTCGTGGGGCAGGTTGGGAGTTCGATTCCGCCGTTGGGTCAACCAGTTCTTCTACGATTCTCTCATTCAGGGTTTTGATGATAAATTTGTATTGTCATATGCTAAGAAATTAACCCGCCGTGAGCTTATTATGAGTAATCCTTAAAAAAGAGTTAACCGTCGAATTAGTTTTTTCTGGGGTAGTTGCTGCTAGCATTTGCTTCCATTTTCTGACGTTTATTTCATCTTTTGAAGTTTGGGTTATAAAATTTTTATATTGTTTTTTCTCTAAAATTTTCGTTTATTTGATTTTTGTCTGAGATTTAGAAAGATTTTTGCATTTTTCGGTTTCCCTGATTTCGGATGATGCTCGGGATTACACACTAACACCCTCAAGGCACTGATTCCGTTGTTTTAATTTAGTCTTTCAACCGTTCTGTTGCAGTGTGCAATGTTTTTCCCGATATATTTTTCTTAAAATCATTAGCCGGCTTGCCTGGGTGAAACTGACTACCTAAATCGCAGGATCGAGCTTGGACTTTAGAGAGTTTCAAAATTTAACTTTTGAAACTGTT